AAAGTAGAAAAGAAAATTAGTAACAAATCTCACTAGGAACTTTGAGATGCATTAAAAATATGTAAACATCTACCCATAGTGGCACGGAGCTCTGCTGCTTATATCCAGCATTACTACATATCTAACAAACGCTTGGTTCTTCTTTCCTATTACCAGGGATATTTTAATGTAAAACACTGTATAGCACTAAACCCAACCATCACAGGAGGAATTGAAAATGTGTAAAAGAAGAAAAGAAAGGATTTAAATTCAGGTCTGTATCTTTCTTTTTGATTTTTTGAGACAGTCCCAGGCTGGAGTGCAGTGGCATGATCATGATTCATGGCAACCTCGACCTCCTGGGCTCAAGTTGATCCTCCCGCCTCAGCCTCCCGAGTATCTGGGACTAGAGACATGCACAACCAACCCGGCTAATTTTTTATTTAATTTTTTAAAATTTTTGTAGAGACAGTCTCACTTTCTCACCCAGGCTGTTCTTGAATTCCTGGGCTCAAGCAATCCACCCAACTCAGCTTCCCAAAGTCCTGGGATTATAGACATGAGCCATCGCACCTGGCAACTTTTTAGATTTAAGGATTTTCTTGAACCCAAGGGTTTGGCCTCAGGTTATTCCTAACATGGACAGACTCAGAGTTACTTTCAGGGATTCCAATCTATTATTTTCTGACCTATTTGAGGTATCTTGTCATCCCAACTGAAATTCCGGCCCTCAAATTAAAGTAACGTCCGGCCAGGCACAGTGGCTCGTGCCTGTAATTCCAGCTCTTTGGGAAGCCGAGGTGGGCAAATCACCTGAGGTCAGGAGTTTGAGACCAATCTGGCCAACAAGGTGAAACTCCATCTCTACTAAAAATACAAAAATTAGCTGGGCGTGGTGCCACATGCCTGTAATCCCAGCTGCTTGGGAGGCTGAGGCAGGAGAATCGCTTGAACCCGGGAGGCAGAGGTTGCAGTGAGCTGAGATGGCGCCACTGCACTCCAGCCTGGGCAATAAGAGCAAAACTTCATCTCAAAAACACAAATAAATAAAATAAAATAAATTTTAAAAATAAAGGTACCTCCAAATTCCTGTTTAATTAATTGTTTAAAATAGAGACAGCATCTCCCCATGTTGCCCAGGCCTGTTTCAAACTCCTTTGCTCAAGCAATCCTCCTGCCTCGCCCTCCCCAAAGTGCTGGGATAACAGGTGTGAGCCACTGTGCCTTTAAGAACATTGTTTCCTCACAAACCATAACATTTAAACTACATATAAACTGCGCCCAGTGGTACATGCCTGTAGTCCCAGCCACTCAGGAGGCTGAGGCGGAAAGGAGCACTTGAGCCAAGGAGTCTGAGGCTTCAGTGCACACGATCATGCCTGTGAATAGCCACTGCCCTCCAGTCTGGGCAACAAAACGAGACCTGGTCTCAAAAAAAGAAAAAAAGAAGAAAAAAAGCAGCGTGTAGTCATTTTTGTGTTGTTGCCTAAATCAAAGGTATGTAAATCCATCAGATGCTCTCAAGTGAAAATGTTTTTAAGTCTAACAAGTACCTAGGAATCCACAAGATAACATTTCCAAGGTAGTTTCAGTCTCAGGATAAATATAGAATGTTCACTATGATGATGGATGTATCTATAAAAGGGACCTAGCATCCCTTAATTGCTGCTTAAAACTCTGTCTACTATAGGTTATGAGAGTTATACACCATTTCAAATGATAAAACTGGTCTTACCTTCTCCTTCTTTGATAGTATAAATACACCAACCACTGTGCAATAAAAGGCCATATGATGGCAAAAGTTAGCACACCAGGAGACATCTCGAAGGGCCACCAAGATGGTCTCTGAGAAAATACAATGAGCTTGTCACCAACTGCATGTATCAACTTACAAACATACCTAATTCACAATTTTGAAAGTAGAAAAGAAAATTAGTAACAAATCTCACTCCTGCTGAAAAGGAGGAAGATATTCTGCATTTCAGAGTATAATTTAGGAAGCAGGCTTTCAGGAGTAGTTCAGGCTTAAATAAACACAAAACAAGTATTTTTTAACTGCAAAGGTAGATTTCATTTGGAATGATTTAAAGATTTTGTATATTCTAAATGTACTGTAACATATGAAACCCTGGGCTGGGCGCGGTGGCTCATGCCTATAATCCCAGCACTCTGGGAGGCTGAGGCAGGTGGATCGCGAAGTCAGGAGATCGAGACCATCCTGGCTAACATGGTGAAACCCCGTCGCTACTAAAAATACAAAAAATTAGCCGGGCATGGTGGCAGGCACCTGTAGTCCCAGCTACTCAGGAAGCTGAGGCAGGAGAATGACATGAACCCAGGAGGTGGAGTTTGCAGTGAGCCAAGATCGCGCCACTGCACTCCAGCCTAGACGAGAGTAAGACTCCATCTCAAAATAAAACAAAACAAAACATATGAAACCCTGGCATTTAAATTTTTAAAAAACCGTCTTACCTGTGAGGTGGGCTGAGGAGTAGTCTGCAATGTTGATGTTGACGATTTTGCCTGTAAATGCAAATGAAAGTGACTTAGCCTTGAAAAAATGAAAGACACAATAATTTTTCTATTTCCCATCTTTTTTTAAAAGGCAGAAATATTGAGGGTTTTTTTTGGGTTGCTTTTGTTTTCTTTATGTATAGAACGGTTGGAACATAGAAATATTAGTTTATTCAGTATTTTTCTGCTAACTATACTTAGATTATCCTGAAACTAATACTTACCGAAGGACAAGTTTCCTAAAATGGCAATCCAAACAACACTTTGATGCTTTATGTTTTTAGCTCAAATTGCATAAAATTATCAAAATAAAACCTCAAATAAATCTAAACTCTTATGTTTACAGTCTTATTACATTACCTACTTGACTTTTGTTTTAGAGACACGATCTCGGCTCACTGCAACCTCTGCCTCACAAGTAGCTGGGAGACATGCACCACCACACCCAGCTAATTTTTGTATTTTTAGTAGTAGAGATGGGGTTTCACTATGTTGGCCAGGCTGGTCTCGAACTCCCGACCTCAGGTGATCCACCCACCTCAGCCTCCAAAAGTGTTGGTATTATAGGCATGAGACACCATGCCTGGCCCAATTTATTTTTTCTATGAGTCATCCAAGTGAATTTTTCAAATTTTAAGGAAAAAAAGTCCTTAAATCAAAATCTTTTCAACTTTATTTTATTATTGTATTGTATTTTTGTAGAGATGAGGTCTTGCTCTGTTGCCCAGGCTGGTGAGATCATGGCTCACTGCAGCCTTGCACTCCTGGGTTCAAGCTATCATCCTGCCTCAGCTTTCTGATTAGCTGGGCCGACCACCAAGCCTAGCTATCTTAATTTTACTTTTTTGGTAGACACAGGGTCTTGCCATGTTGCCCAAGCTGGTCTTGAACTCCTAGCCTCAAGTTATCCTCCCGCCTTGACCTCCCAAAGTGCTGAGATTAGTTTTCTATAACAGTGAAAAAGTAAATGTCTAAGAAAATACATCAAAAGAATTTTAGCAGAATTTCAATACCACTAAAGATACTGAATATATGTAAAATATTCTTTAAAAAAAAAAAAAAATAGAGCCTGCCAGGCTCAGTGGCTCATGCCTGTAATCCCAAGCACTTTGGGAGGCCAAGGTGGGCTGATCACTTGAGCTCAGGAGTTTGAGAACAGCCTAGGCAACATGGCATAACTCTGTTTCTACAAAAAATACAAAAATTAGCCAGACGTGGTTGTGTGCACCTATGGTTCCAGCTACCTGGGAAGCTGAGGTGGGAGGATGACTTGAGCCCAGGAGGTGGAGGTTACAGTGAGCCAAGTGCAGTGGCATGATCTAGGCTCACTGCAACCTCTGCCAACGGGGTTCAGGTGATTCTCATGCCTCAGTCTCCTGAGTAGCTGGGATTACAGGGACGCACCACCACGACCAGCTAATTTTTGTATTTAGTAGCGATGGGGTTTCACCATGCTGGCCAGGCTGGTCTCGAACTCCTGGCCTCAAGCAATCCACTCGCCTCGGCCTCCCAAAGTGCTGAAATTACAGGTGTGAGTCACCACACCTGGTCATAAGGCACTATTTTAAACTCTTTTTCCTTATACACCTTCTTGAGGATCTGATGAAGACAACAAGTCCTCTCCCATCAAAAATGCAAGATCAAAGACAAATGCGCATAGCATTTTAGGGCGTTCATAGACTCCTGGAAGTCTAGGAATTTGCAGTCTGATTAATAATAATATGTAACTGAGAGGCCGGGTGCAGTGGCTCACGCCTGTAATCCCAGCACTTTGGGAGGCTGAGGCGGGTGGATCACGAGGTCAAGAGATTGAGAGCACCCTGGCCAACATGGTGAAGACCTGTCTCTACTAAAAATACAAAAATTAGTCGGGCATGGTGGCGTGCGCCTATAGTCCCAGCTACTCAGGAGGCTGAGGTAGAAGAATCGCTTGAACCCGGGAGGTGGAGATTGCAGTAAGTCAAGATCCTGCCACTGCATTCCAGCCTGGTGACAGAATGAGACTCCATCTCCAAAAAACCCCAAAATAATAATAATAATGATAACAACAACAACAACAACAATAACAAGAAGTAACTGAGAATCCTGGAGATACATGTAATTTTAAAAAATGTGCTAGCTTGAGTAACTTACTGATTAGGTAAAGAGAAAGATATTCATGGTGGTTGTTTAGGAAAGCCTGTGGTATCAGTTTCTTTACATAAGCCTACATTTAATGTATTTATCTTGCAACGGAAGCACATCTTCTTTGATTAATCCTTACAAATACTTCTTAACATCTGTTACAGCATGATGCTTCAATGTTGTATAATGTTTGCAGCTAGGTCAGAGAGCCAATGCTAATTACTTCTCTATTCTTTCCAACAAATGTTACTCAAGAAAGGGCAGCTGAGTTCAGGGATTATCATAGGCCACAGTTGAAACTATAAATCAAGCTGTAGTGTCTCTTCCTATGAACCCTTTTCCCTTCTTTTATTTATTTACTTATTTATTTTTTTTTGAGACAGAGTCTCACTCTCTCACCCAGGCTGGAGTGCAGTGGTGTGATCTCGGCTCACGCAACCTCTGCTTCCCGGGTTCACGGCACGCTCCTGCCTCAGCCTCCTAAGTACCTGGGATCACAGGCATGCCAACACCATACCTGGCTAACTTTTGTATTTTTAGTAGAGACAGAATTTCACCATGTTGGCCAGTCTGGTCTCGAACTCCTGAACTCAGGTGATCCTCCCAAAGTGTTGGGATTATAAGCGTGAGCCACCATGCCCAGCCATTTTTCTATTATTTTAAGCAGTAATTAGTTTCTTGGTCAGTCTTTTCTTAAACAATATTTTCAAAACTCAGTTCTTTCTATTTTCTAAAAAAATCAGTAAAATACATTAATTTATGTAAATATGATCAACAGAGATTCCACATTGCTTTCCAGAATCAATAAGCAGAAGAAGATATGACACATTTGGAAGTTTACCTGCAAAGCAGTCAGCGTTTCCAGTTTCTGCAGTCTCTGAAGGACATTCTGCATGTCCTCCTGCAGTCTCATCAGCACGAGGGCGATCTGCTCATTGAGGCTGCCTCGGGACCCTCTGTCAGAGCCCCAGCGCTCCCCATCACCTCCACTTCCCACCTGCCGGCCCTTGGTTCCTTCGCTCAGGTGTTGCATCCTATGTCCTATTTTAAGAGGCAAAAATAAGCTTGTTTTAAATAATTCTTATACAAGTAGAAACTGTGTTTTATTCATTTTCCTGTTATTTCTTTTAGATGTAAATCTCCAAAGTGTGGCCGGGAGCAGTGGCTCACACCTGTAATCCCAGCACTTTGGGAGGCTGAGGCGGGTGGATTACCTGAGGTCAGGAGTTCAAGACCAGCCTGGCCAACATGCTGAAACCCTGTCTCTACCAAAAATATAAAAATTAGCCGGGTGTGGTGGCATGAGACTGTAATCCCAGCTACTTGGGAGGCTGAGGCAGGAGAATCGTTCAAACCCTGGAGGCGGTGGTTGTAGTGAGCCGAGATCACGCCACTGCACTCCAGCCTGGGGAACAGAGCGATACTCCATCTCAAAAAAATAAAAAAATAACCTTCCAAAGTGGAGTAGAAGCAATCGAGAAGTACATAAAATAAACTGCTGAAATCAAAGGAATTGATTTGTAAACTTCTACTCATATTGATATATTCTAAAATTTTTTGCTAAGGTTCTGTAATATACACAATATACTAATGCATTATGCAAATAATTCAGAAATAACACACACATTTGGAGTGCATGCTCAAACATTCTTTACTAATAAGGTAACCAGACTGAAAAAATCTGAAGTTTTTTTTTTTTTAAATAGAGACGAGGTCTCCCCATCTTACCCAAATTGGTCTCGAACGCTTGGGTTCAAGCAATTCACATGCCCCGGCCTCCCAAACTGCTGGGATTACAGGCATGAGCCACCACTCCTGGCCCTGAAGACTCCTTCTTTAGAGTATTAAAAGTTACAATAAAGAGCTACTTTTGCCTTTTGGGTCTTTTTTTTGTTTGTTTCATTACATTATAAATCTCCAAAGGTATTTGTTTTTGAGACAGAGTCTCACCCTGTTGCCCAGGCTGGAGTGCAATGGCTCACTGCAACCTCCGCCTCCCAGGTTCAGCCAATTCTCCTGCCTCAGCCTCCCAAGCAACTGGAATTATAGGCACATGCCACCTATGCCCGGTTAATTTTTGTATTTTTAGTAGAGACGGAGTTTCACTTTGTTGGCCAGGCTAGTCTCGAACTCCTGACCTCAAGTGATCTGTCTGCCTCGGCCTCCCAAAGTGCTGGGATTACAGAAGTGAGTCACCATGCCCAGACATCCAAAGGATTTTAAATGTGTTGTTCTTATTCTAAATTGTGTGTTCCTTATAGAAATCTCACTACTATTAAGATTTTGTTAAATAGCCATCCATTCTTTTCTCTGGACATATATTTGCAAAATTGGCACTATCCCCTTATACATTGATTTTTATGTCCTAGTTTTAAAATCGTATTATGAACACTTATCTGCATCATTAAATTTTATTCCAAAAACACTTAAATGGTTACATAAATTCCCTAGTTAGGTTATGAAATAATTCACTCAACCATTCTCCACTTTTGGATAGGTAGGATGAGTTCAAATTTTTTCTGTTACAAATAAAATTGCAATGAATGGTTTTATATATGTAAATCCTCATCCAAATTTCCCCTGATCTCTTTGGGACAGATTCCAAAAAAATCATTACTGGATTAAAGGATAACAACTGGGTCAAGGTTCCCAAGCTATTTTTCAGAAGGCTGAAACAGTGTTACAGTGCAGACTATAAAAGGTACTATTGCGTTACCCTACCCTTGCAGGAATGGAATATTACAAAATTTTACATTTGCTAATATAATGAGCAAGTTTTGTTTTGAATAATAAACAGGAAATTGTCTAGCTCACTGCCCTGTAGCATCCTGGACCTCCACTGCAGCAGAATTCCCATAGCTGAACCTGCATCAAGCATTGTCGGGGATTAAAAGGGAAACTGAATTACAGCTATTTGCCAAGTTAAACCCCAAAATGGGCCCTGAGGTGCCTGATGCTGTTTTCAAGACTTCTATCTTGAAAAATCTATCAAGGAGGTAAATTTTGAGATCTGTCTGGGCAACATAGTGAGATGCTCATCGCTACAAAAAAAACTTTTTCAATTAGTCAGGCGGCCAGGCATAGCTCATGCCAGTAATCCCAGCACTTTGGGAGGCTGAGGTGGATGGATCACCCGAGATCAGTTTGAGACCAGCCTGGCCAATATGGTGAAACCCCATCTCTACTAAAAATACAAAAATTAGCCAGGCGTGGTGGCAGGTGCCTATAATCCCAGCTACTCGCCACTCTTTATAAAAAAAAAAAAAAATAGCCCAGGCCTGGTAAGCTACTCAGGGAGGGGGCCGGCTTGAGCCTGGGAGCAAGAGGAAATAGATGAACCAAATGGCACTGCATTCACCTGGGCCTAAGAGCCAGACAACTTGTCTCCAAAACAAAAAAAGGCAGCAAAGAATTGAAAAATAATGAGAAGGACCCAACTGAGAAATGAGTGAAATAGGTGCAAATTAGTAAAAATGAAAAATCGAGAAAAACCCAGAGCTTCCCTTTTAATTTTTCTTTTTAAAAAAGAGATGTTGGGAAAGAATTGATGAAAGGACGCAAGATAGAGATTGATTCTCAGTAAATATCCAGCTGGGCTAAATTCAAGGTTTTTCCGGTTTCTCTCTCAATCAGTTTAATGGACTAAAGCTCAAGGGGGGGGGGGGGGGGGGGGCAGCTGACTGGCTTCGAGTGCAGTGCACAACTGGCCCTCACGACCAATCTATCTGCCCGGTTCCAAGTGATTCTTCACGTGCCCTCAGCCCTTCCCAAAAGGAAGTAACTGGAACTTAACCAGCATGTGCTACCCGCCTGGCTAATATGCTGATTTAGTAAAACCGACAGGTCTCGCCAGTGCCCGACCAGGGGCCGTCCCTTATACCCTGCCTCCAATGATCGGCCGCTCCGGAGCTCCTCAAAGTGCTGAAATTACAAGGTATGAAGCGCCACCTGTGCCGCCCCTTGCGCCCTGTGTACACACCACTCCTCCTATTTGGCAGCTCACCACCCCACCCTTGGCCATCTCAACTGTTTCTCCAATGTGGTCAAGTCCTTCCCACCCCCACCCCTACTGTACATTCCTCCCCTCATTCCCTCGAGGACTCTATATAATCTTTCTTTTATAATCCCTAACCCAAGATTCCCTTCCTTGAAAGGAAACCTTAGATAAGATACCCACCTCATCACCAACCTTTACACCCAAGTCCAGTAATTATAGGTGTCCATCACACCAAAGCTTAGGTGGTTCTTTAAAAAACAATTTAGCCTCTGCCCTACACAGTAGATCATGTCTTATCCTTTTAATGTCTAATAACTTCTTTGACTTAAAAAAAATTTTAGACTGGGTAGGGGCCAAGCCTGTAATCCCAGCACTTTGGTAAGGATGAGCGGTGGCGATCACGAGTCAGGAGACTCAAACCAATTCCTGGCTAACAACAGGATGGACCCATCCACCTAAAAATACAAAAAAAGAAAAAAAAAGTCGGCCATGCCGTGGCGGGCGCCTGTACTCCCACACCTCAGAAGGCGAGCAGGAGAAGGCGTGAACTGGAAGGCGGGGCTTGCAGTCCACCAAGACGCTCCCTGCACCCAGGCCTGGGCGACAGTGCGCAAGACTGCCATCTCCAAAAAAAAAGAAAAATTTTAAGGCAGAACTCTAAGCATAAGGTAAGATGAATTTTAATGTTTCTTAATAACTGGACTCACCAAAAACAATTCACTTGGCCAGGCATGGGTCTCAACGCTGTAAAACCAGCACTTTGGAGCCAAAGGTGGGAATGTCATAGGTTCAGGAGATTGAGACCATCTCTGGCCAACATGGT